AGAATTCGTACCTCTCCCATAGGTCGTACCTAGAGATTCGTTTCAAACGTTGAACTATGTTACACTCATTTCGTTGAACATAGTTCAACACTATGTGAAACAACGAACAACGAATCGTTTCAAATGAGTTCGTCTAACTACGTTCAACTCATTTGAAACGAATTCTCTAAGGCTTTGGAGTTTGAATACGCTACACAACTATGAAAGAAACTGTTTACCAGAGGGAATCTCGGAGGATGATTGAGCTACACCCATTTCATAGCCCTCCATTGGGCATTGTCTCATTGATAGCAGAGATAGCCGTCTCCATCGAGCCTTAGATTCAATAGAGGTTTATTATAGCTTAATAGCTTAGTATAGTATAGCTTAGCACGAAGCTAGTTATTTCCTTGTGTGGATCTTAGTATGTAAGAGATTGAAGCAAGGCCGGTAATAGATAAATAGATAATAGAACGAGACCGGAAAGCGCCTTGATTAGTGACGAATCGCCAAACAGTCAGCTGTTGAATTTCATTTAGATATCATATCACAATCAGTCAACAGTTGGAAATCGGCCACAAGGGATATCAGATCTCCTTCTTATATTTCTCTTATATTTCTTATATACCTTATATACGTCATATACGTCGCCATGTTTCGTTGACGGACAAGAATAAATGGTAGCGGGGAACGAATTTCATTCAGCTTCCGGGGATTGAGTGGAGATAGAAGTCAGATGTACAATGCATATATAACTAGGTTCCATCATAGATCTGATCGCGATATATTTGGCATCATCTCGTTTCTGGTGAACTATTCAGGCCGAATAAGAAACAGCCACTTGACGGAAGTTTGAGGGGTTAGAGCAGACCCCGAAGGGATGCCTCATTGGCAGCCGAGAGCAGCCTATTCTGTCTGTAGCAGCTTCTTCTTTCAAAGGCAAAGGCCTCGTACTAAGTTCCATGACATGGCAAGTTGAGTTCATAACCTCGTAGGCCGGGAATGCCATCAAGAACCCTTTTCCCGAGGGTTAGGATCAAGGGAGAGGAACGAGGTACGACCAAAGGGAGTCACTCGACCTATGGGAGAGGTACGACCAAAGGGAGTCACTCGACCTATGGGAGAGGTACGACCAAAGGGAGTCACTCGACCTATGGGAGAGGTACGACCAAAGGGAGTCACTCGACCTATGGGAGAGGTACGACCAAAGGGAGTCACTCGACCTATGGGGGAGGTACGA